AGCTCTCACTAGAACCAGCATATAAGCAGCTATAGCAGCAGTAAGGGTCCCCCCAGAAGGAAAAGTATGCCACCTTATGAAAAGAAGTGTCTATCCAATGGTTCTACTGGCAGGATCCATAGGTACACTGTATTTATAAAATGATGCAGGGGGATTGAGAAAAGCAGAGAGCCCAGTCTCACAGGTATGGACAGCTTACCATATCACACATGGCATTTTATAGCTTGGTATTTACCCCCATAAGCTGCCTATTGAGGAATAAGGGGGGTAGTTCGGCAGGCAACAAAAATGGCTTTTTACAGCTCCCCCCCAACTGCATGTCTAGATGAAGCATAAGAGTGTGAATAAGGTTCAGTAGTAGTTCAGTATTTCCAATAGAAGGCTGGGCTCAAGAACACAAGGGGTGTGACCACAAATTAGAATGATGACTGTACAGGGGAAACATTGGAAAGCATTATTGTGCCAGAAGAGTTACAGATTCCTTGAACAGATTTCAAGCAGAGGTAGTGAATTAACAGTAAGTGAGTTTAACCATGCTTGGAAAAAGCCACGCTGTGTAATGACGTGCACACCACTGTTTTCAGAAGGATAAAATCAACTTTATTGTTCCAGCGTAACAGAGTCCTCCAATCCAGCTTTTACTGATGGTGCATTTCGCCCCCTACTGGAGCTTAATCATAGAACAAGAGGGTGTGTAAGAATAGGAGCTTATGTGCACACAGGTTTCTAACTTCTACTTAAATCTCTTTATTTTCACGTCTGCTGGAAAACAATACCACATTTACCGCTATATAACAAACAAAAAAGTCATGAGGAATACGGATTTTCCTGGTACAATCATATATTACACACATTTATAATAAAATTCACATTAAAACATTACTGATCAATAAAGAGAAAAAACATGCTAAAAATTCAGGCTCCAACAAAAGGTAACAATTCTTACTAATCTCATGTATGAATCAATGTAAAGGTAGTGCAGATTAGAAACACATGAGAAGCTGAGATCACATCTCTACATGTTCCACAGAAGACGGTGACCACACCTGTTTGGACTAAAACTAGGTAAGTATACATGGCTTTTTTATACAGGTTAGGCAGGATATGTAGAAGGCATGGGGTAGGAACATTTTTAAGAACAATTATAGTTAGGGTTTGTGATACACCCAACCTGGACAGGGATTTTTTGGAGGGGATTGGTATTATGGCAGCCAGCCAGATTTTTGAGGGAACTGCAGGCTAGCCTCTTGCCTACTGATTGTTGGCCCTGGCATTTCAGGGGGCTCTATTCTTTGGTAGGTGTATGTCTAGGAGTCCTTTGGAGTCGTTCTACTTTGGATTCAAGTCCATGTCACCCTAAAACACATAGCCTCTGAGAACTGGAGAACCCAGATACAGATTTGGGGCTTCTGATCCCAAACCAGCATTGATTTCTTCACACAACAACCCCCCCCGACTCAGAAACACAAAGCAGAAGATCATAATCAGCTCAAAACAACCTGATGGTGGTGTCTCCTGCTGTTATGTATAATCTGTTCATCAAGGTATTACGTGTACTTGTGTTTGCCTATCCTATCCATGTATGGAGTGTCGTTTCCCCATAGTGTGCCTCCTAGGTGTGAATTCCCATTAATAACTAGGTAACCTATTATTTATGTCTGTTCTCCAATGCTCCTGACGTGATTAGTCTCGTGTCAACTTTACCTCGTTACCTAACCATTGTGGGATGTTTACCTCAATGTGTAATATTTGTTTTTATTGTTCATGTGGTGACTGCCCCTATTTTTTAAAGTGTATAAAAACCTATATTTCTGTTTAATAAAGTTGTTCCTTTTGCTTTTACATCAACATCTTGTCTGTGTATGATGTTTGGGTTAAAGGGCTGGTATTAGCTATCAGTCTCCTGGAAGGGTTTGAAGGACAGGAGGCACTGTTTGGCGAGGGCACCCAGGCGATGTACCAGGCAGTCACAGGGTTTTTCTTCCACTTTAAATACTGGTAAGCTTCAATATATTAGATTTGTAGGTGTCCTGCAGATAAGCTCAAAGTTTCACTAAACCCACAACAATGAAATCAGTCTGTATATGCAGTAAAGCATGCTTTTCATACTCTTTGTGAAAGCTAAGGGGTTAATCCTCTGCGTTGTGTAAAAATACTGTATGATCCTGTCTTCTCTGATCCTCCCCTTCTTCTACTGTCCCCAATCTGTCTGCTGACAGAACAGAGCCTTGGGGGCAAGCTGCACATGCTCAGTTTGGTGTGTATTGGTAGAGAGGTTTTTTTTTTTCTTGGGAGAGTACATGTGATCAGCACAGGGCCAATCAGTGCTGTCCAGATAGATGGTTAGGGGTCCTGCAGCCTCAAAGGACAATCAGAGGAGAATGAAATCTCCTACAAGCTTTAACCAGTGATCTGCTGGACACTTCTAGAAGTCACAAGACTGCTCAAACTGCTGAGGAAAAAAGGTATTTAGCAGTTTATAGTTATTAATAATCACATTTCAATGTTCTGTGGGAGACCAGATATAGTGCATGCAGGATCCTGGTTTTAGTAACAATACAGAGTCAGATCAATTAGCTTGAGCCAGTAGAGGTTGTAAGTTTGTCATATTTTTATTATATGGAAAACTAAAGGATATTAAAATTCTTCAGAAGGTACATTTTTTACAATTTTTTGGCACTATACAAGAGCTTTCTACATCTCAATATTTCCTGTTGTGCAGCGCCCTGTTTGGCTATGCAGGCACGTATGTCACTGCTCAGGGATGTATCAGCAAACGAACACCATTGTGCTTTCAACAGACAATGAATCCTGCTTACCTTCCTGGCTTTGTGAGCTTGACTTTAGTAAATGAGGCTCAGAATATGCATTCATTAGCCTGCAGCGGAAACTAGCTGGGACTGGAAAGAAAAATGTTTTTCAGGAAGATTATTGATTTAATGCAGTGCTGAGATTATCTAGTTTCACACAGACACCTTTTCTTTGCTCTGTTAGAAGTGAGATTTGAATTTCTTAATTTCAGCACCAGACTTGCTTGCCTTGACTTCTTGCCTATAACTCTCATTTTTTTTTTCCAAGTGGGGATTGATAATGGGTTTAATGGATTAAATGTTTGCAGCATTAAGGAAAGGCATATTCTTTGCCAGTTTGGATACTTTGTGTTATTCTAATGTATTTGCCAAGTTTTTTTCCCGAAGATAAGGCTAATTTAATTAATTCATGCGTAAATTTGCAAGTGAGCTAAACAATGGTAGTTTTCACAACCCTTTCTCAATGGAAATGAGTTTCTTTGTTTTCAAACAGAACCTTTTTAAAGGCATTTTGTTCTTTTCAGCTGAGAATATATATATATATATTTATACTATATTGGCAAAAGTATTGGGTCACCTGCCTTTACACGCACATGAACTTTAATGGCATCCGAGTCTCAGTCCGCAGGGTTCAATATTGAGTTGGCCCACCCTTTGCAGCTATAACAGCTTCAGCTCTTCTGGGAAGGCTGTCCATAAGGTTTAGGAGTGTGTCTATGGGAATGTTTGACCATTCTTCCAGAAGCGCATATGTGAGGTGAGGCACTGATGTCGGACGAGAAGGCCTGGCTTGCAATCTCCATTCTAAATTATCCCAAAGGTGTTCTGTCGGGTTGAGGTCCAGACTCTGTGCAGGCCAGTCAAGTTCCTCCACCCCAAACTCGCACATCCATGTTTTTATGGACCTTGCTTTGAGCAATGGTGCACAGTCATGTTGGAACAGGAAGGGGCCATCCCCAAACTCTTCCCACAAAGTTGGGAGCATGAAATTGTCCAAAATGTCTTGGTATGCTGATGCCCCTCAACCAAACTTTACACTTAGCACAATGCAGTCAGGCAAGTACTGTTCTCTTGCCAACTGCCAAAACCAGACATGTCCATCAGATTGCCAGATTGAGAAGAGTGATTTGTCACTCCAGAAAACATGTCTCCATTGCTCTAGTGTCCAGTGGTGGCGTGCTTTACACTATTGCATCCGATGCTTTGCATTGTACTTGGTGATGTAAGGCTTGGATGCAGCTGTTGTGCCACCCATTCCATTAAGCTCTCTACATACTGTTGTGCTAATCTGAAGACCACATGAAGTTTGGAGGTCTTTAGCTATTGACTCTGCAGACAGTTGGCGACTTCTGCGCACTGTGCACTTCAGCATGCGCTGACCATGCTCTGTCATTTTAAGTGGCCTACCACTTCATGGCAGTTGCTGTTTTTCTCAGTTGCTTCCGCTTTGTTATAATACCACTAACAGTTGACCGTGGAATATTTAGTAGAAAGGAAATTTCACAAATCGACTTGTTGCACAGGTGACAACCTATCACAGTAACACACTTGAATTCACTGAGCTCCTGAGAACGACCCATACTATCACAAATGTTTGTAGAAGCAATCTGCATGCCTAGGTTCTTGATTTTATACAGCTGTGGCCATGGAGGTGATTAGAACACCTGAATCCAATGATTTGGAGGGCTGGCCCAATTCTTTTGGCAATATAGTGCTTGTATATATATATATATATATATATATATATATATATATAGCCAGCTAAGCCAAGTTTTATATATATATTTTACCCCCATCATGACCATAAATGCAGGCCAAAATGTATTCTGCTACATATCTTTGGTAAAAAAATCCCAATAAATGTATATTAAATGGTTTGTGGGAAAGTTATAGTGTCTACAAATGATTATATATCTACTGAAATTTAAACAGCTATGATGCTACACTGATAATGGTGGAATCAGCAACTTTTAGTGGGACTGTGATAGTGTGGCGGGCAATCTGGCACTAAAAGACCTTCGCTGGGAGGTACACTAACTGGCTAACTGACACTGACATCAATAGTGACACTAATACAGGGATCAGATATAATACTGTACGCTGTCACTGTATTAACAACACTGGCTAGGAAGGGGTTAACATCAAGGGGCAATCAAGAGGTTAAAGTGTTACTAAACCCAGGACTCTGCTTTCACTAAATCTGTTCTCCCACAGTACACACAACATGGAAATGAAATTATGCAGATCTATCTCTCGACCCCTCGCCTCACCCCCTCAGTCTCCTCCTGAATCACAAGCCTAATGAACAACATAGATTGGATGTCACTTCAGTTCCTTAAACTGAACCTCTCCAAAACAGAGCTCCTAGACTTCCCCCCAGCTCGGACACCACCCCCCACTGACTTCTCCATCACGTCCAACAATGCCACCATCAGGCCCGCCCCGCCCCGCAGGCCAGAATACTTGGTGTAATTCTTGACTCTAATCTAGTCCAATCACTAACAAATTCATGCAGACTCCACCTCTACAACATCGCCAAAATACGCCCATTCCTAACCCCAGAAACCCCTAAGCAGCTCATCCACTCCCTCATCATATCAGGACTCGATTACTGCAACTTCCTCCTCACTGGCCTGCCTCGCCACAGGCTATCCCCGCTTCAGTCGATCCTGAATACAGCAGCCAGACTCATTCACCTTACCAACCACTCCGTTTCCTCCACCCCCCTCTGCCAATCCCTCCACTGGCTTCCGATTGCCCAACGGATCAAATTCAAAATCCTAACACTGACGTACAAAGCTGTCCATCATACTGCCCCAAACTACATCACCAACCTAATATCCAAGTACCACCCTACACGCACTCTCCGCTCCTCACAAGACCTCCTTATCTCTAGTTTCCTAGTCTCCTCCTCCCATGCCCACCTCCAGGACTTCTCCAGGGCATCACCCATACTCTGGAACTCCTTAGCCCAATCCATCAGACTATCACCTACTCTCCTCTCCTTTAGGCGCACCCTGAAAACCCACCTCTTCAGGGAAGCCTACCCCACCCCCTGCTAATTCCCGACCTCCTCCACTCTTCCTACCACTCCATCCCCCACAGCTATTTCCTCCTGTACCACTATCCCCTCCCTCCTAGATTGTAAGCTCCAAGGAGCAGGACCCCTCATGTATCGCAGTGTATTGTTATTGTACTGTCACATACTCTGTCTCCCATTGTAATGTACAGCGCTGAGCGAACTGTTGGCACTTTATAAATACTGTATAATAATAATAATAATAATATAAACTGCTAAATACCTTTTCCCATCAGCAATTATTATTACTATTATTATACAGGATTTATATAGCACCAACATTTTGCGCAGCGCTTTACAAAATGAAGGCAGACATTACAGTTACAATACAATTTGGTACAAGAGGAAACAGAGGTCCCGGCTCATTAGAGCTTACAATCTAGGAGGGAGGATTGAGTAATACAAAAGGTAATAGCTGTGTGGGGGATGAGCTGATGGAGGAAATAAATGGCGGTTTACTAGGTAGAAGCAGGATAGACTTCTTTAAAGAGAGAGGTTTTCAGGGATTGTCTAAAGGTGGATAGATTAGGAGACAGCTGGACAGATTGGGGTAGAGAATCCCATAGGATGGGAGAAGCTCGGGAAAAGTCCTGGAGGCGACCATGGGAGGAGGTGACACAGGAACTAGAGAGCAGAAGGTCTTGGGAGAATTGAAGAGAGCAGTTTGGTTGATATTTTGAGACCAGGTTGGTGATGTGGCTGAGGCAGAGTTGTAGATGGCTTTGTAAATTGTTGTTAGTATTTTTAATTTTATTTGTTGAGTGAATGGAAGCCAGTGGAGGAATTGGCAGACAGTGGTGGAGAACACTGATTGGAAGCCAGTGGAGGGATTTTCAGAGAGGGGTGGAGGACACTGATTGGAAGCCAGTGGAGGGATTGGCAGAGAGGGGTAGCAGACACTGAACAGTTGGTAAGATGAATAAGCGTGGCAGCAGTATTCATGATGGACTGGAGGGGGATAGCCTATGTAAAAGTAAGGCAATGAGGAGGGAGTTGCAGTAGTCGAGGCGAGAGATAACCATGAAGTGAATTAGGAACTGTGTGGTATCACTGGTTAAAAAGTGGCATATTCTGCAGATGTTGCGGAGGTTGAGGCGGCATGATTTGGACAGGGATTGCATGTGGGCGTGAAAGGGTAGTTCAGAATCCAGGGTTACACATAGCACCCTGGCATGCAGGGATGGGTTGATAGTGTCGCTATTGATCCTGACTGTGAAATCGTGGGAAGAGGCATGTGGGGGAGAAAATATTATGAGCTCAGTTTTGAATAGATTGAGTTTTAGGAAGTGGAGTGACATCCAGTCTGATATGTCTGTTAGTAAATCAGTGATACATGTGGAAACGGATGGGGTGACCTGAGGAGTAGAGAGATAGATTTGTGTGTCATCAGCATAGAAATGGTATCGGAAACCATAGGAAGCTATCAGCTGACCCAAGGAAGAAGTGTAGATCGAGAATAGGAGAGGTCCAAGGACAGAACCTTGGGGGACCCCAACAGTAAGAGGAGTAGAAGAGGAGGAAGTAGAGTTGTAACTGACACTAAAGGTGCGGTGAGATAGGAAAGATTCAAACCAACGGAGAGTATAGTCATGGAGACCAAGTAAATAGAGTTTTTTGTGGAGGAAGGGGTGGTCAACTGTGTCAAAGGCAGCGGGGAGGTCCAAGAGCAAGGGTATGGAATAGTGACCACTGGTTTTAGCGGTTAGTAAGTCGTTTGTGAGTTTTATGAGAGCAGTTTCTGTGGAGTGTTGTGGGCAATCCAGACTGAAGGGGATCAAGAAGGTTATTTTCAATAAGGCGGTAGCTCAGCCGGTTGTAGACTAGACATTCAAGGAGTTTGGAGGCAAAAGGGAGTAAGGAGATGGGTCTTAGGTTGCCAATATTGGTGGGGTCCAGTGAGGCTTTTCTAAGTATGGGGGTGACTAGCGCATGTTTTAGAGAGCTGGGGAAGATGCCAGTAGAAAGGGAGAGATTGAAGATATGAGTTAAAGAATGAAGGATAGAGCCAGAGGGTGACCGTAGTTATTGTGAGGGAACAGGGTCCAGGGGGCAGGTGCTTAGGTGGGCAGTTAGAGCAGTCTTGTGACTTCAGCAGAGCACTGGTTAAAGCATGTAGGGGTTTTCTTTGAACCCCCGACCTCTGTCTGGACAGTGCTGATTGGCCCTGTGCTGATGACATGCACTCTCCAAACAAAAAAACCTCTCTAGCAATACACACCAAACTGAGCATGTGCATGTAACTACGGATTCAGTCTGTATCAGGTGGTCATTTCAACAAAAGGTGGGGCAGAGAAAAAAGGATCAAACAGCCTTTTTAAACAATGCAGAGGATTAACCCCTTAGATTCCACAGTGAGTATAACAAGCATGCTTTACTGCATATTGATTTTACTGTTTGTGGGTTAACACTTTAACTGCGTGCCTAACAAGTGTAATGTGTGTAATGTGTGCTGCTTTTACTTACAGACCTAGCTGTTTTACTCCCTGCTTTGCAAGGAGAAGAAACTGCCAGATCGCTGATTTGTGTACAGATCCCTGTACTGTGGGTGGGTGGGAACTGGTTAAATGCAGATTTTTTTTTTCATGTGAATGTTTCCTTTGTATCCTGGCAACTCATCACCTTATCACACAGTGAGGTAAGTACATAGGGGGTTTGTTCACCTTGTGATTTTTTTCTGAAAAGGTGAACTTATCTTATACTTTATTTGAAAGCTGGGATAAGCAAATATTGTTTACATACAAGATCCATGTGTATTTTTCCTTGAATCTTGGTGTACTTTGTGTATTTCTTCCAGATCTGTAGAGCAGCCCAATGTAAAATGTTACCTCTATGCAGGATTTTCAAACAAAGAGTGGTCACTGCTGCTTTCCATAATGATGGTATCACTGCAAATTTTACAAGGTAATATCAGGATTTGCAACAGCATTTAGCACACAAAATGGATGTACAGTATATCTATTGCAGTTATTGAGGAATATATGTAAAATATTTTTTTTTTTCATGCCTGGAGTTCAGCTTTAAGTTTTTATACAAAAATGGAACCAAAGTGCAGTGCAGTATGAAGATGGAAATATTATATTTTTAAAGAAAGGCCCTTTAGGCTACTTTCATATACAGTAGGTGGTAGATGCAGTAGAGCATTCAGAGCCTGAGTTATTTCATACCCTATCCAGCCTGTTCTGGTAGGAAACAAAAGACATTTATAAGGAAGAATAGATATGGCTACCTGCTCTCCGCAGGATACTGCAGTGTTTGCTATATACTGATCAGCCATGACATTATGACCACCCACCATAACCCGTGGAGGCATGAACTCCACTAGAACTCTGAAGGTATGCTGTGCTAGCTGGCACCAAGCCTTCAGTAGCAGATCCTTTAACCACTTGCCAACCACGCTGTACCTGAATGATGGCTATAGCGTGGTTGTCCAGAACTCATCCTCCTACAGACATAGCTGATCACGTGATGTGGTAAAAGGCCAATCACAGCGGCCATTTACCACGTGATCAGCTGTGTCCAATGACAGCAGATCACCAGGTAAATACAGTTGCCGGTTATCGACTGCACTTTCCTCACGTTGTCACAGTGTGAGGAAAGTACTGCCGAGATCAGCAATTGTCGAAGAACGGATCGGCACTGATCATCGAGCACTGATGATCAGTGCCCTGATGATCAGTACTGCCCACCTGTGCCCATCAGTGCCACCAACCAATGCCGCCCACCTGTGCCCATCAGTGCCCTGCAGTGTCACCCACCTGTGCCCAGCAGTGCCACCTATCAGTGCAGCATCATCAGTGCTGCCTATCCATACCACCTTATCAGTGCCCATCAGTGCTGCCTATCAGTGCCCATCAGTGCTGCCTATCAGTGCTGCCTCATCAACGCACATCACTGAAGGAGAAAAATTACCTCTTTGCAAAATGTTATAATAGAAACAATGAAAAACCTTTTTTTTTCAAATGTTTTGCTATTTTTTGTTTATAGTGCAAAAAATCAAAACACCCATTGGTGATTAAATACCAACAAAAGAAAGCTCTATTTGTAAGAAAAAAAATTAAAAACAATTTTCACATGGGTACAATGTTGCATGACCGCACAATTGTCATTCAAAGTGCGACAGCGCTGAAAGCTGAAAATTGGCCTGGGCAGGAAGGGGGTATAAGTGCTGGGTAGGCAAGTGGTTAAATCCTGTAAGTTGCAAGGTGGGGCCTCCATGGATCACACTTGTTTTTCCAGCACATTCTACAGATGCTCAAATGGACTGAGATCTGGATAATTTGGAGGCCAAGCCAGAACCTCAAACTCATTGTTGTGTTCCTCAAACCATTCTTGAATTCATCAGGCCAGTCTACCTTCTTCCTTTGCTCCATGGTCCAGTTCTGATGCTCATGTGCCCATTGTAGGTGCTTTTGGCTGTGGACATGGATCTGCACGGGCACCCTGACCAGTCTGCAGCTACCCAGTCCCACACAGGGGCAGACTGACCATTTGGAAACTTGGGCACTGCCCGAGGGCCCAGGGTCAGTAGGGGGCCTCATGAGATGCCCCTGGTACCTTTTTCATAGGCTTTTTTGAGTTTGGGAAAGGACACAGGGGCCCCATTTGCCTTGGGGCCCCATGAGTTGTCAGTCCACCCCTGGTCCCACAACAACAAACTACCATGCACTGTGTGTTCTAACATCTTTCTATCGGAACCAGCATTAACTTTTTCTACACTTTAAGTTAGACTAGCTTCTCTCTTGGATCACACGACATGGGTCAACCTTCGCTCCCCATGTGCATCGATAAGCCTTGGCCGCCCTTGATTCTGTCACCAATCTTCCATCCTTGGACCACTTTTGGTTGGTCCTGACCACATCAGACCGAGAACATCCCACAAGAGCTGCAGTTTCGAAGTTGCTCTGACCCAGTCATCCAACCATTACAACTTGGCCCTTGTCAAAATTGCTCAAATCATTATGCCTGCCCAATTTTTCTGCTTTCAACACTTAAAACACATATTCACGTGCAGGAGCGGACTGACAACTCATGGGCGCCCCGGGGCAATAGGGGATCATGGGGCCCCTGTGTCCTTACCCAAACTCAAAAAAACCTATGAAAAAGGTACCAGGGGCATCTCATGGGGCCCCCTACTGACCCCAGGCCCTCGGGCAGTGCCCAAGTTTCCAAATGGTCAGTCCGTCCCTGTTCACGTGCTGCCTAAAATATCTCACCCACTCAGGTGCCATTGTAACAAGATAATCAATGTTATTCACTTTACCTTTAATCATTATAATGTTATGTGGCTGATTGCTGTACATTGAGGCTGCATTTTATGTGTCATTCACAAAATGTGTAGTGAGCAGCACAGCATGTCACACTTAATACCATGCATTGTACTGATGCACATTGCAGTGGAAATTCCTACATTATATTGTGCCATCTAGTAACCAAAAGTGGTATGTTCCATTTTAAATCAATGAAAAACATTAATCCAAAACATACGATAGCACAATATCATTTATTTTTTGCCCTATTAACATTCACTTTCACTGGGTGAATTGCTATGGGATTTTTTTCATAAATCCCCCCCCCTTCACCTGTATCTCCCCAAATCAGAATATCATAGCAAACACAGTGATTTAACAAGCAAGGCAACCAGCCGTATGAGTGGAATGTAAACAGGGAAGCTTTGTATCCCAAAGTGAAGTTTACAAGCTTGTGTATTTTTCAAAGGTAATTCCACTTTTGGTGTGTATATATATATATATATATATATATATATATATATATATATATATATATTATATATATATATATACACACCAAAATATATATATATATATTTAGGTTTTTTTACATGCACAGATCTTTTTGCTATTAGATGAGTGAGATGAAGTTCATATCAGGCGCTCCTAACCACATACCCAGGCAGTAGGATAAAATAGGGTGATGCAAGATAAAGCAGAGGTACACAGGACTGTGGTATTCAAGTACAAATGTGGGACAGTATAACGAATTGTGAATGAAAGCCATGCACTTTGAGCTTTGAAGCTTACAAGCGAACTTTGAAGGCTTGTACAGTAGAGAATGGCCTCAGCTACAGCTCCTCCCAACAGGTCATGCCCACTGATGCATTTCACCCCCCCCCCCCCCAGAGCTTAGTCATAGAGATAATAATGTGAGACAGTCCTGCAAATTCTGGGACTGTTGGGGTATGTCCCCTGCTACTCTTTGCTTTGTCAGAGCTGCCATATAATCCCTGGTGTCAGAAAATAGGGCAAACAGTGGTGTGTTCTAGGCCTAAGCACAGCATCAAAACGAGAAATTTACTTGCTCCTTCATGCCTAGAAGCCCAAGGTATCTCCCAATGCAGCCATAGAAAGCAGCACTGGAGCACTGTGAAGGTAAGTATAAGGGGTGATGGACACAGATTCACTGCAGAACGGGCAAGGTGACATAGTCTCTTTAAAGGTCTAGCTGATCTTGTATCTGCTTTCCTGCCACATATTGTAATGGTGTTACAGAGGAATTGTTAAGCATGCTGCAGATTGTATCAATGAGCTGAACCAATTCAAAACCTATTTCTACTGGAATGCTTTATTTTATTTTTTTTTTCTTTCCTTTTCTGAAGTTTTACCCAGTCTCAGTAGGGTTTCCTCTTAACTAAACAGCTTTTCTTTCATTTTCTATAACATATAAATGTGTTTCGTACAATGCAGTGCATTGGGGAATTGAATGTCTTAGAACAGAGCAGGTCTGAGACAGAGCATTGTGTAGCACTAAACATTGATCAGTAGCATTGGCTCCTGTAGAATTGAAAAGGCTGTTTTTATGTAGTCTCATGCAAAAAATTGTGCAACTCATGAGTTTGTAAAAGGCCCAAGGGCTTTAAAACAGTAACCTTAATTGCACAGAGTCAGCATATTACTGTGCTTCCTTGTGAATCATTTTTATGAGATAGTTATAAAAAGGCTAAAGCAGATTTGGAGTTCCATTTTCCTTTTTTACTAAATGTCATTTAAACACACCTTATGTGCCTAAAACTCAGAAAACTGTAAAGAAAGAATCTTTAAAAATTGGCCAGTCGCTTTATTGGATCTAAAATATAACACCAATGCCTTTACATTTATAGAGGTCTTACAATCATCAGAGTGATAACCTGCAGTGGTGGTGGGAATGTCATTGGGTTATCAGGCTTATTCAATAAACAACAGTAATAACAATGGACAAAGTAGAGCAAACAGCAGCAAATAATCAGATTTCCATTACTATAGTCATTTTGTTGTGTGTGTGAATATATTTACGGTTGAGCTTTTTGGAAAATGAGGAATAAAGCATACTTATATACCCCATACTCATTTTCATGGAGGGGGGGCAGATATGAGGTGAACCTTATTCTAAAGGGGGCTTTCAGATTCATAAAAGTCCCCATATAAATCCTACATCCCTTTTCAGAGACAGGATGTGGGGAACAGCCCTAAGTTCCTCAGCATGGGGATGAGTTGCTTTGCAAAGGAGGAGGCCTTCCTACTCCCAATTGTGAAAGCTATGTGGGCAAGTATGGTACAGGAAGAAGTGGCCGCACACTTATTGCTACCCTTATCCTGGCTACTCTGGCTGCATGCCTAGATAAGGGTCTATTTTACATCCTGCAATTAACCCCATGTCATTTTTTCAAATTGTTTCCCACTTTTAAAGGACTACATTGGACTGTTTCATTACTTTATAACTAGCTTTAAGGCACCTCCTATGCATCTTATTTAAAGTATTTGAATATTTTCAATGTTACCCTTAAAGCTGCATTAAAAGACCCTCCCATTTTAAAAATGGCAGTACCCAGCTCCCAATACTATTTCAGAAATAGCTTTCATAATGGCCTTGGGAAATAAAAAATACCAACATTTGCCTCCTATAGACTTAAGTGGGGTTCCGCTCTAAGTTTGAGGCTTTGTGCACCTTATGTTGGTTGTACTGATCCTCCCTTGAACCAAACTCAAGCCCATTATGTAGCATGGCGGAGAAATGGCAAAAAAAATCCAAAGGCATTTTGTAACAAGTTCATTTTTGAAGAAGACAGAGGTACTGAGGGGGTCTGTCTGATAGAACTGTTCACAGATATTCAGATACATAGAAAATCTGTCCAATTTGGGATGATTGTTGCTTCGGGCAAATGATTTGTTTACCCTTAGTTGTTTTGTATTTTTTCACATTGCAAATTGCCCTTTGCTTTACTGAAAGAGAATATATGTAATTTAATTTGGAAGTGATAATAAAATAAGCTACTGTGCCTTCTTTTCCATTTACTGTGGATTTACATTGTGCTATACAAAGTAAGATTATCAGCAATCTCTACATAAATTGCTTTTTAGATGTTGAAAATGCACTTATACATGCACAAGATAATGTGTAGCTGATGTCCACTGTCGGAAAAAGTTTTAGCACTTACCAGTTTACGCATTTCAGTTAATGCTAGACTGTTTTATGCTGCACGTTTACCAGCTGTCATTATAAACAGGCATATTCTGCTGATGAACTTTTATGGTGTCTGTTGACATTTACAATACTATTGCAGATAGGTTTTTCTGTAGAGTGCCTTGACTATGAAGCAGTCATCTCATGAAATTATCATACACAGGTAACCTACAAATAAAGTTATGCCATTAAAATCAGCTGTCAATTTCTGTCTGAAAGCAACAATACTGGAATATTGGAAAACCAATGAATTGAACAGGATTTCCATGAAGTCCAAAAAATCCCCACTTTTTTCAGGATCCTTTCATGTATAAACCCAAAAGGTCTTCTAACTTATGTAAGTCCTGGGTTTTGCCAGGGTTGCAAGTGCACATATCAACTCTATTGCAGCCTGCTGAATAAATACAATATTGCTGCACAAGTGATCACATATGTTGTGATAGAGCCATGCCCTGCCACCACGTTAAAGGAACTTTTTATACCCAAAATTAATATTCTCATCCAGCCAGGTTGCGAAGGCTCCAGGATGCAGATGGTGTTCAGGGGAAACTGTTTTTCAGTTTTATCAGTTTTATCAATGGTTTTTAAAACCTGGTTTGGAACCTGGAGCATGGAAACTTCATGTCTCTAATCCTGGGTCCTGGTCTTAGGATCAACCAGCATCAACCAGCATACTAATTGCATACTAAGATGTGTGCAGTTTTTATTATTACAGACCTGACTATGGTTCAGGGCTCCACCCTGACAGACAGAGGAAGTCTTTGCCCAAATGTCAGGAGGTTTCCACCAAGAAGATAGGTGGGAGTCAGTGCAGCAGGGAGCTGCTAAATAAGTGCATAGAGTTTTGTGAGAAAAGTCTGGAGGAGACAGAAAAGGGCCTGAGGTTTAAGGCCAGAGTACGAGTGCTGCAGGTATACGCCAGGAGACTGATGTATATTTAATTTCCTATAACCTAACCTCCTTTTTACATACAGAAAATCAAACCTATCCCTATTTATTTTTATTTTATTTAGTATTTTGTCAATTTTTGATTATTTTTGATTATATTGGGATAGGATTTGATTTTCTGTATGTAAAGAGGAGGTTGGTTACATTTATTCAACTTTCAAGGGTGAACGTTTTTACTTTTCTTGAAGGGTTTGTGGAAATTTTTGTTTGGCAGTTAGTGTGCGGAGGTACTATTTATTAATATTTAATTTCCTGCTAGAGAAATGCTGGGAAACCCCTTCAAGGAAAACTCGTGTGATTTGCTTGATTTTTATTTTTTTCTGTATTAAAAGTGCACAAGAAAAGTCCTAAGAAGAAGATTGGCTATGTCCTTATTGCACTAATATTTGAAACTGGTTCTCACAATGGAACTATTTTACTAGTCAAGTTTTATTCCACCAAGAATTGTAAGCAACAGTGGTATGGGAAGATTTTGGCAGTAGCTGTGAAAGTTTGGAACCCCTCCATGTTGACAGATGGAAGATTCTCATCCAATTTTTTTTTTAAATGGAAATCTCATTTGAAGAAATACTTGGTCCTAACTAAAAACTATAGTAATGTATAAATAAGGAATTGTTGAAATCAGTAAATATAACCAATTTATCATTTTAACGGCAACTAGTCTTACCGCCCCGTGCGCAAAATCACGTATATATGTGATTTTGCATTTCCGGGTAGGCTTTGGCTGTCAATCACCGAGTGATTCTCCACCGGCAGCCAGGGATCACCTAGTATCAAGGAACAATACAGCTTTCTCCCCTGTCAGCTCCAAAAGCAGCTACAAAGCAGTGTGCTTACAGTGTAAAGTGTGAAGCGCACACAGCACACAGTGAAACAGTACAGAGAACACAGTTAACCCTTTGGTCGCCTCTCATGTTAACCCCTTCCTGCCCAGTGTCATTAGTACAGTGTCAATGCTTTTTATTAGCACTGATCATTGTATTGGTGTCACTGGGGAAGTCAGTGACACCAAGTCAGTTCCTCCCCAGTGTCAGAATGCCCACCGCAGTCCCTCTGTCCTGCTATAAGTCGCCGATCACCACCATTACTAGTATTAAAAAAAAAAAATCCAATATATATATACCACCTTTTGTAGACGCTATAACTTTCATGTAAACCAACTAAGTCACACGTATTGGGATTTTTTTTTAGCAGAATACATTTTGGCCTAAATTTATGATGAAATTAGATTTTTTTTTATTTTTTTTACTAGACATGTTTAATAGCAAAAAGTCCAAAATATTGTTTTTTTTTTCTCAAAATTGGCGGTCTTTTTTTTTTTTTTTTAAATACCACCTTAAAAAAGCTCTATTTATGATGAAAAAAAGGACATAAAATTAATTTGAGTGCAGCATTGCATGAGTGCGCAATTGTCAGTTGAAGTAACGAAAAAAATGGCCTGGTCAGGAAGGGGGGGGGGGGGGGGTAAATCCTCTGAAGGGCAAGTGGTTAAATGAAACATTTTGATATCAGTGCTCAACGCTGGATTTGATAATTATGCTGATTGTCAGCATAACTTAGTACTAGAGAATAGGATGAACTCTTATTTCATTATTAAAAGCTATGTTTCCTTGTTCAGATCTGCTAATTTATGACACTTACAACATTTTATGATAGCCTTTCTGAACTAGAGTTCCAGGGAACCCTGGCAGTTTCTACAAAGGTTGCAAGGGGTTCCTCTGGCAATGAGGAATTTCTGCCTTTGTGTAAGTACTGACACCAGTGATTTTTTTTTAGATATATTTGGAAAGGGGGGATTCTGTAGGAATATTGACCACAAATGTAAGGAAGGCTAAACATTATGCAATTTTCTTTCCTTCCAGCAAGGGAGGAAGGAAAGAAAATTGCTTCAATTCCCCCATCAAAACAGTCAGTGTCAGTCGATAGATCAACTTGTGTACAACCAGGAGGCCCATATATGGATCAAAATTCAGTTGGTCACTGCCGAACTGGCCAAATTTCGATCCATGTATGGCCGGCTAAAGGAGTATTCTTCCTCTTGACCATCACATTATTGTACTTTTATTATTGTACATTATTGTGAGCTGTAGATTATGTAAATATTTGCAGGAGTTCCTTCTGACCAGAACATTATTTCAAGGGTTTCACCATGTTAAAAGGTTGGGAACAGCTGCTGACCACACCAATGGAATCTTACAATCCACGTAATG